CAATAAATTTTCCCTCTGATTCTTTCCTACTCTCCTGCTCTCAGACCCTGGACTATCGGGGATGCTAAAGCTTGGGGTTTGGCAGAAGCAAGGTCAAGAGGACACCAGTGGGGATGGCCTGAGAGCCAGAGGGAGGGGAACAGTGGGAGAAGCGAGGAGCAAGATGGCAGGGTAAGCCTTGCTAAGCCAAGAATCCCGGTACCATCCATGCAGCTGTTCCCTTGGCTTCCCAAGTTCTAGTAAAGCCTTAAATCCCCAATAAATGTTTTATTCACATCCAAACACACCTTACATCCTGGCGTGGCTCAGAAACTCTGGCTGTGAAGGAGAGTGGGGGGCGGGGGGCATTGAGAAGGTTGTGTTTTTGGGCTTCCCCCTGAAATTGTTCTTCCAAAGCAAACACATGTAAGTTTGTAAAGGCAGGTTCATTAGAAAGAATGAAAGAGGAAGGAAGGAAAGTAGTGAATCTAGTAATACCCCAATCCTTTAGACCTCTCCAGTCAGGTCTGGCTGCCCACCCTGAAACCTATAAGCTGAGAGCTCTGGGGAGGCTGCCATGTGCCCTCCCCTGGAAATGTCGCCTTGGCTGGTCCGTGGCTCTAGGGTGGTAGGGGTGAGTGTTGGTTTATTGCCTCCTGCTCGCACCTGCCTGAGCAGGCACCCCGGCCCCTTCCCCAGTTCACAGCCCTACAGACTGTGTCTTCCTACAGGACAGGTTTCAAAGCAGCCACCTTGCAGGCTTTCTCTCTGGGTGCGAGACAAAATTGTTGCTTCTCTTTGTAGCTCACTTTTCCCTACTTCTTCATCCCTAAAAAGCAGCATTCCACATCCCCAGCTCAGGACATCAACCCCTTTGCTCTTCCGTGCAAAATACAGTTGCATGTTTTTTCACCCTTGCTTTGAGACCCCAGCGGAGAAGAGGATCTGAAGCCTAACTCTGGGGACGGAAAGAGCAAAGCTGCTGTCTTCCTGAGCTCCCCGGGCTGAGCACCCACACGCCGACGTTTGTCACACGCAAATGAACGCGCTCTCCCCAGCATGATAAATTTCACATCAGTCCTGCTGACTTCGGCTTACTAATTGCCTGATAGCGTTTTCTTTGTTAAGGTTTCCTGGGATCATCACACTTTTTGTTGAACTGACAGTGGAAATATTCCGCAGCTGACGACCCAGATGAAGCCTGATGCACGACTTCCCTAATCTTGCATGGTGGTGGGGGTGGGGGGGAACGTGCTGGTGGCCTTGGGCAGGCCCCCAGCAATCTCTGAAACAGATCTCTGGCGGTGGGGTGGGGGGGCGCTCCCCAGCACTGCCACGATGCACGACTCAAAGGTGATGCCACGCACATCGTACTATTGTGCCCGAATGCCCCCTGGAAGCAAGCAGGGCATGACATCAACACTACACGGTGGCCCTGGACAACCTCAATCTGAATGTGGGGGCTTTGACCGGCAAGATGCAGGGAACCCCCGGGGAGCCTGTTTATTGAACAACAGGAGTGGGACCCAGGAGGGGCATGCCCATGTTCACGCCCCCATTCTAGGCTGGGTGTTCTAGATTCTGCACTGTCTGCCTCGCTACCTGAGCCCTTGGATGGAGGCATTGCTAGTTTGGCTTGGTCAAGGAGAGCTGTCAAGTAATACCCAGAGAAAGACGGGAAGCCTGGGTTTGATGCAAGTAAGAGGAGACCCTCTGAATATGGGGGTGCCTTCCGGGGAGGGGCGGGGGCAGAACGAACCACAGGGAGGTCTCCTCACCCCAATTTGCATGCTCCCTCTCAGCAAGGGAGGGAGCGCTCTTATCAGCTCAAGAATTCAGCCAGCCAGTCAGGGTTGCATACCACACGGTGGCTGGGCCTGGCTCGGCTGTCTAGTCAAGAACAGGCTTGTCTTTGTTCCTGTGTGACTGGGGCTGCTGCTTGGGGATGGAGGATCCAGGGTGGGTGCAATTATAGGATTTTTTTTTAAGGTATAGAAATTGTATCTTTCATTTCAGGCCTTGGGAAAGTAAACCGAAGAAGGGAGCGTGATGTTAAAGGGGTAAGTGGAGTCGTTTTCATTGCTGGCAACCCCTCTTTCCCAAAAGTGACCCTGGGAGCTCATGTGCCTTTCTGTTGTCAGAGGAGTCACCGATGGTGTCAAGACACTGCATTGAACTTTCCAAACTCTGTTCACCTTATCTTATCCTCTAAAGACTCAGAACCCTATGGTCTTGGTGTTCGAAAAATTCTTACAGGTCATCTACCTGTCCATCCATCTGTCCACCCACCCGTCCACTCATCCACTCATCTACTCATCCATCCATCCACTCTTCCATCCACCCATCTACCCATCCAGCCATCTGTCTATCCACCCACCCACCTGCCCGTCCATGCATGCATCCATCCATCCATCCACCCAATCATTCATCTGTGTAACTGTCCAATCATCCATCCATCCATCCATCCATCCATCCATCCATTCATCCGCCCACCCACTCATCCACCCACTCCCCTACATATCCTTCCAGGAAGTATTTGTTGAGCACTTACCATATGCCACCCAGTGGTGAACAAGGGAGACAAAGCCTCTGCTCTCATGGAAACTGCCATGCTATTGGGGAAGATGGACAGTAAACAAGGAAGCACAGAAATAAATGAGATCCTTACAAGATTGTGGTAAGCACCCAGAACAAGAAAACCCAGGAGACATGAAAGAAGAAATGTGGAGCTCCAGCATGATCAGGAAGAGCCTTCCTAAGAAGGCAACACTCCAGCTGCAAACTGAGGGCCGAGAGGGAGAAAACCAGACTGAAAAATTGGGACAAGCGTGTTCTAGGCAGCGAGAACAGCAAGCATTGACCGGAGGCTCTGAAGGGGGCCGGCGCTTGGCCAGTGCTGCCGGAGCAGAGTGAAATTTGCAAAAACCACTTGTTCAAATGAAACACTGCACAGAGCCTAACATGAAGTAAACCAAAGTGAAAGGATTCAGATAAAGTCACTTTAAAACCACTAATAGGATCCGGGGGCTGGCTTTGGTGCCGATCTCTCCCGCAGCATTTAACATGGGTTAGAACGCTTTGGAATGCTGAATCATTGCCTCCAACACCAGCTGAGTTCATGGGCTGGGGCTGGGAGGAGCCAACAGAGTGCACAGGTCTCCAGGAAGTGGGTGTTGGGCAGGCGGGCTTTCTTTGGGGACACATCTCCCTGAGCAAAAAGGCTGCACGTGAGTCAAGGACCAATGCTCCCGTGGCCAAATCACGCGGTGGTTTCCCCTCCCGGCTGCTCCGGCTTATCCCAGCGGCTCCTTGCCGAGCTGCTCACAGGACATATTTCAGACCAGGAGACTTTGAAGTATGTGTTCTCTTAAGGCTTAACAATGTCAAGCTTCATAACCCAAGAACTGGCTTGCTAGCTTCCTACTTTAAATTGCTCATAATTTGAAACATGCAAACATTTCCACTTTATCAAGCAGGGCTACTAAACATATTATTGCTGGAACCTGCATGTTTTATGGTCTCCATACAGCCAGGGAGCTGAGTTTTATTAAAATAGACTGTTAAGAGGCTCAACTCATTATGGAATCTTCCAGGCCTCAGAATGAAAGAGTTTTGTTTACTAAGGGCAGGGGTAAAAAGGGCTAGGAAGAGGGTGGGGATGAGTGTGAGTGTGTGTGTGTGTGTGTGTGTGTGTGGTGAAGGGAGAGGTGGGGAAAAGGCAGAGACCACTAACAGTCTTGGCTTTGCCCTTCGGTGCTCCCCACCCCTCGCTCCACTTCCATGTCAGCCGCCTGTCTGAGGTTGGGCATGTCCATGGGCTCTGAGTCCCTTACTTAAGGCAGACTCGAGTCTGACTACAGAACAATGGGAATTTAGCAAAGAAGGGTGATTCTTCCCTTGGAGAAAAAAAAAAAAAAAAAAGAGGCTCAGGGCCTCCACTGAAGGCAAGCACACCTAGAATGTTACAATGAGATCTGACCAACGTATGGCATGCACAAAAGTGTTCTTTTTTTTTTTTTTTTCCCCAGGATGCTCCCGGGCTGGGGACAGTATTTAATGACAGGAAGGGGAAGACCGTGTAGTATAATCATTCCTATATATTCGGGTAGAGACCTGTGTGCTGCTGCAATCATGCCATGGCCAGCTGCCAGATCTCTTGCTCCCCGGGTTCCCATGCTGGCCTTGGGGACAGGTGGAGAGGAACCCAGACGTCCTACCAGCCCCTGAGAGTCTGCAGATAGACTCCAGCCCCAGATCCCACTGGTAGCAATTATCTGAGATACTGCAAGTGAGACCGGCAGGTGAGCTGCCCAACTGAACCTTGTCAATGCAGAGGAACATGAAGTGAGTAAGTGGTTTTGCCACGTCGAGCCCCTAAGGTTCATGTTGGGGTGGAGGGTTACATAGCAGTAATCATCGGGGACCCCTTCCTTGAACTCGGGGGTGGGGCTTAGGGGAAAGCAGCAGTTCTCCAAGTGCAGGCAACGATGTCTTCCAGCCAGGCTGACCATAATGATGATTGTAATAGTGAGGACACCTGCTCTTAATGGAACATCCCATGTGCTGGGCATGTGTGCTGTGTGTTTTTGAATGTTTTTAGGGGTTCCTAGGTAGCTCAGCTGGTCAAGCATCTGCCTTCAGCTCAGGTCATGATCTCAGGGTGCTGGGATCGAGCCCCACATCAGACTCCCTGCTCAGTGGGGAGCCTGCTTCTCCCTCTCTCTCTGCCTCTCCCCCTGCTTGTGCTCACTTTCTCTCTCTTTGTCAAATAAATAGATAAAATCTTTTTAAACAATGTTTTAAAACATTACCTGAAGTACACTCAATTATTGTCCCCACTTTGAAGGGGAGGACCCATCTTTGAAGCTCAGAGTCCGATGGTGGGGTCCTAACCCACGCTAACACCACAGTCCCCTTCAGTCGCCGCCACCCACCACTCTGCACTCCTTGTGCAGTGAGCTCTCAGGACACGAGCAACTCCTCCAGAACCCCCATGTGTCCCGCATTTACTAAGTTAGCACCTGCTTGCCAGGCACTGGGCTGGATTCTAGGAACATCCCCAGAGCTTGGCGTGGAGCCTCCTGCAGAGGCTTCAGCAGTCCGTGTCCCTGGAGTCACCAACGCTCCCCTGTCATCCCCACTCTGCTGCACCTGACACAGTGGCTGATCCCGCATAAGCAGCCAGAGTTCACCAAAGGGGGTTATGACATCATCGTGTATCAACAGACAAGGGGTGGCGGGTGAATGGATGGACAATGGATGGGTGTATAAACAAATCACATTCTGACGCGCACATATTTTAAGAAGCCCTCTCTGGAGTGTGTTCTGTGGCGGTTTTAATTTTATAGGAAGGTGTCATTCTTCCCAATCTGTGATTTTTCTTCTTCTTCTTCTTCTTTTTTTTAGGTGGCCCTGGTGCAAGGCAAAGAGGGTTGGCAAGTAAGATCTGGAGATGAAGGAGGTCGGAAAGGTGTTAACAAGCTATAAATGACCTTCCCAGCCTATTCAGGCATAAGTAATGTCCCCAAATTGCCTACAGTCAAAACTGCCAATTCCAAGCTGATTGCGATGAATCAGGCCTCCCCCTATACGCCATAATGTGATCAATTTCTCATTTCGCTGAATAAATAAGCTGGAAGATGGGGAACTGTCTCTGACCCACCGTTAACCTTCTGCCTCATTATTCATATCAGACCTATGACATGCAGGTACGAAATCCCTGGTTCAATTTTAGCTAATTATTTGTTAGGACTGAAGGCTCCGTGAAGTGTTACTGATGGTACAAGTGCCCAGGGACCTCCGGGCGGAGAAAATCAGACTGAGAAAGCCTTTGTCTAGAAGAAGGGAGAGCTGGGAGCATCCGCCTTTTTTTCCCCCAGCCATAAGCTTATGGTTGGCACGTTCCTGCACTTATCCATGTATCTTTGCCTCCGAGTGAGCCATCCCGGTAATTTATGACATCCTGGACTATTGTGAACTTACATCTTTTTATCATACTCTGCGAAGATCGCCCTCACAAATCAATTCTTTTATTGGGAAGAAATCCCATTGTAGGCTTTCCCCTCTCCCTCCTCCCCACAGCATCACCCTGATAGGGACATTGAGGGACCAGAGCTTTGGGAAATATTAACATTTTTTGTTTCATTGGCTGGCTGCCTCTGGAGAGATTTCTGGGATGGATGCAGAAGTAGGTTCGTGTGTCGGGAAGGAGGAAGCCTGTATGGGGGGGATTTGGCAGGTGTTATCTGCAGAGATGGCAGGAGCTGTTGGCCTGGTCCTAGGGGCCATGGTGGCTCCCCTGGGAGGCGCCGATTGGCTCAGCCTGGAAGACCTGGTGCTTGCCCCTGGGGCCTCCCCACCTCCCACTCCCCCCACCCCCACCGATGGAAGGTCTGTGACTGGTTGTTCCAGCCCAGAGTCCATCTGTGAATCAGTGTGGGTCACTTCGAAGGACTCCCCCAAGACTAGAAAGGGGCAAGGTGCTTTGGGTGCATTTGCGTTTTCTTAAGAGAACGAAGGCCTTTCCTGCACCAGAGCTGTTTTGTCGCCTTTATAAAGATTTGGCCCTTCGTATTTTCAGAGTTCCTGAGAATTTCCCCAAAGCACTCTCACCTCAGACTTAGCGAATCGGCTTATCCATCCCTCTCACGCAACATACAGTTTCGAACATGCCTCATGCTCTCGAAGGTTCCATAAGGGAGGAGTAGCTTATCAAGAACAGTCCTGTCCTCATGGAGCTTTCGGTCTAGCGTGGAGACAGTTGCTATTTAAGAAGGCATTGTGATGGGGGAAGTTCATGGGTGTGGAGCACAGAGGAGATGGGGATTTGGGGGGCCTCCCTCCTGGAGGGAACCCTGGGGGAGGGAACCCTGGTGGTAACCAGGACGAGGTAGAAAGGGGGGTAGGATGGCAGGGAAGGGAAATGTCCCGCTAGAAGAAGCAGCACACCACGTGTCCTGGAGGTCAGAGGGAGCATGGCAGGCTGGAGGATAGTATGCTTGCAAAGAGGTGTAGGAAGCAGCCAAACAAGGAAGTAGGACCAAGTCATGAAAGGCTTCATTCCTCTGTTTCTGGATGTAAATGTTCCAGTCTGAGGGAAGAGGGGAAAGGGGGCTCCATGCGTAATTATTCTAGATCTTAAGAGCAGAGGATAATAGTCTTCAATCAGGGCTACGTCTGACAAATCAGGGTGTAGGGTCCCCCTATTTGAAAGTCAAGTAGAGGAACTGGGATTTCTTGGATTCTACCCCAGATTCCTTGAAAGTAATCATCAGGGTCAACTTTGCATCTTAGAAAGATCTCTGGGGGCACCTGGGTAACTCAGTTGATTAAGCATCTGCCTTTGGCTCAGGTCATGATCTCAGAGTCCTGGGATCAAGTCCCCCATCGGGCTCTCTGCTCAGCGGGGAGTCTGCTTCTCACTCTCCCTTTGCTGCTCCCCCTGCTTGTGCTCTCTCTCTCTTCCTCACTCTCCCTCTCAAATAAATAAATTATATAAAAATAAATAAAATAAATTAAAATAAAAAATAACAATAAAAAAATTAAATTAAAAAATAAAATAAAAAGAAAGAAAGAAAGCAAAAAGGGAAGCTCTATGGCTTCCTGTGGTGGATGGTTTGGAAGAGGGAGCAACTAAATGGAAAGAGGCAGGGAGGACTTCTGCCTTCCATGAGCTGAGCCACACAGACCAGGTGAGATCATCTCCATCCTGCAAAGACAGACTCAGAGACGAAGGGCCCTGGCAGCCATTAATGATCACCAGGTGCCCAGCCTCATCTAATCAATGAAAGAGAGTCCCACTGTGGGCCCTGTGTTGCTGTTTTCCACCACGGGAAACCCATTTTTCTGCGGGAGAGATGGGTGCGACCCCCAGCCTAACGTCCGTTATGGAAAGCCCAAGGAAACAATTAGAGAGCATTTGGGTTGTTTTTTTCTCTGCCGGACCCCAGATATCCTCTGGTGATCAGTTTAGGATCTGCTAAGGCCACTGGAAGCTGAGCTTCCTGAGGGCAGGACGTCATGGTCTCCTTCACCCCCATAGTTCCTTCCGGTGCTTCGCATACAGTTGGCGTTTAATAAATCGATTTGGAAGTCACAGCTTCCATGGTGGGTTCTCAGAGGGTGCTCTCTGAGGTGCTGAGAGGGGTCAGTCGCATGAGGACAGAATGGGGCACTCAGCTGTCCCTGCTGGTTCCCTCAGCACACTGACCCGCCCAGGGCCAACAGCAATCTCTCCCAGGACCCTCCTCCTCCCTGAGGCTGAGAAAGAGCCAGGCTCAGGGCGTGGCCCAGGGGAGATTTCTCTGGCTGATGAATGATGGAGTGACTTGAGTCAGCCCATTAAACCTCCCCTGGGGTCCCGGCCAGAGAGAACTGTGGCCCCGTGGGGAGTAATAACATTATCGGCATCGTTTCTTGATGGCTTATTACACGCCAGACACCATCTAATCTTTTCACATTTTAAGCTCCTTGAATCCTCACAAACCCGCATTCATTGTACTGCTATTGTCCCCATTGAACGTATGAGAACACTGAGACCCGGAGAGGTTACTAACCAGCTCCCAGAGGCTACAGCAGGGGCACCAGCCATCAGGGTTACCATCCAGACCACTGGTCTTCCCCAGGGAGCTGGGAGTGGAGCAGGAATTCAAACCCTGGTTGATGGTGAGTCACATCTGGTCAGTGCACCCAGCAGGGACGGCCTTTGTGGCTATCTATCTGCAAAAGAGTGGGAGAAAGTGAAATTCTCACCCTGAGATTCATGGGTCTGAGGGGCAAGACATAGCCCATCTCCCCTGATACTTTGGAAGATTCCAGCTAAGAGAAAGAGAAAGCATTCCCCACATCTGTGTTGCTAACTATAGAATAGAAACACGCTATCTCAGGATAAAACACAAAAACACCAATGAGCTTAGACTTCTTTCCTTTGTTCAGTCATTCGCTAAGCTATTTTCTTGAGTTCTTGCTGTGTGTCAGGCACTGTTTTAGGGGCTGGGTTCTAGCATGGCACTGGGCGAATAGGACCCCTGCCTTCCCAGGGATGTACTATCTCTTGGGGGAAGTATTCACAACACACAGGGACAAACATGGTGCCAGGGATAATCGGGAGCTGAGAGAACAAAGAGCAAGGGTGCCAGGGCTCCTCTAGAGATCCCTGCCCCTCCCCAGGATGCAGGAAAAGCAGGAGAGGCCAGGTAAAGGTATTGGGGGAAGGGAGGAGAGAACTGCAGCCTTTGATTTCAGGGGCTCAATTCATATGCCCAAGCAGGGAGTCCTTGCGGGTGGAGGAAGTGGGTCTCTAATTTGAGGAGGGAAGCAGAGCCTATGCTCAGACTTAAGAAGGAAATCTTGCCCTTGGGCACCCAGCCAGGGCAGGGAGGGGGGCTGCACACCCACTAGAGTGGACATCTTTTTGAAGTTCACACCCAGCGCCCTATGGGATCAGCAGTGACCCTCCTTCAGTCACTTCATGACCACACCCCCAGTGTCTTTCTGCTCTTTGAAAGTGGCTTGAGCTCCCGGGTGGCCAAAGCCCATGTTTTCCTCTCTGAGCTTGATGTGACTCCATGGTGGGGATAATTCATGGTCAAGTGGCTGATCTCAGGACCTTGAGGCTCAAGGTCGTGCAGCCTTCTATCCTTAACCCAGTGTGGGAAACAGCTTCGCCACCTGGTTGTGGGGAGGACTAGCTTAAGGCCATTTCTCCCCACCATCTTCAAAGTCCCTTTTGGAAAGTTACCTTCATATGTGTTTCAAATTCAACATAAACTCCACTTATCTTTTCTTGCTTTTTCTGTTTCTCAGGATGCTTCCAGAAATCCGTGACAAATTTTCATGAATGGGCTTGCATTGCTGTAGGTCAGGGTCCTGCCCCTGAGTGGTCCAGGCCAAGCCTGGGTCCTCCCAGGGCTGAGCCCCAGGCTTGGGTGGGAAACAAGCCACGATGAAGTTCATGTAAAGAAAAATGAAGGCCTCCCCCCACCAACCAATTCAGCGCCCTACCGTCTGCTCTGACCCCGCGCCAGGGATCGGTGACCAGTATCTCAAGGGCTGTTTTCCATGACAGCTTGCATGCCTGAGC